ACCATGGGAGCTTTGCTTCAACAGGGTTTTTCTCTGGAAGAGACAAACAGGTGAGCACTGGATGAGACCATTCCATTTTTCACGGGCTCTTCTGGAGAGTAAACCAGAAACCTTGATGAGTTGAATTGGGGGCCTAGCCCACGTGAATGATCTGGGACACTGTGTGCTTAAGCGTTTGAGCCATCAGCAGGCATAGCAAGGAATAGGGTGGGCTGTGCAGTGTGAGCCTGGCTAGTCACCAAAGTGCAGTCTTCTGCCTACTTCATCCTCCAGCTTCCTATGAAGAGCAGGACAGCTAGAAAACAGTCACTGCAAGGGTGCATCTGGGACTGACCCTTTCCACGTGGCCCTGTGGATTCGGAAACCAGCATCAGCAATAAGAATCAGGGTTTTAAAAGTGCTAAGGCCTGTGGGAACTTTAAAAAAAAACACCCCCTTGTTATGGATATCAGGCCTCACTACCTATTCCTCAAGTGTGCTTTTCTCACAATAACTTTAAAGTTACTGTCACTGTGCCCTTTTAGGACATTGTCACTGGACGTCTGTGGCATGAAAGAGAATTAATTACCACTTACTGTTTCCTTTACCCCTAGATAAAAATTGTGGTAAGTTTTTATCATGGCTCATGTTGTCCTGGGATCCACCCCAGCTCTTTCATTAGCAACTTAGCAAAAAATTGTTCTGTCACTAGAACCTTTATCTTTATGGTTTTACTATCCTGATACCCGTGCTTCACTACGGTATTTAAGTTCCTTAAATCCAGTTATAATACTGATGATGTGAAGTTTGAAATCTGACATTTGTTGTAGGAATTCTAGTGGAGAAGATTGTAGTGTAAAAAATGAAGTGAGACATACGTACTTTTCCCCTCTCTACTGAAGAACCTCTCTGTAGACCATATTGGTGGTTCTGCCCTCAGGTGCTAGGATCACCAGGCTGCTTGATGAGCTCACTGTGCAGCAGGCAACATAGAGCTGTCCATTTAAGAAGCAGTCATCTGTTAAGTCAATTCCTGCTACCTTCCACAAAAGTGATAGCCTCTCTACTTGTGTTCCTGGATTGTTTTGCTCATATGGAGACTGTGTGGTTCTGAGCACCTCAGGGTGATCTTGCTGGTACTTGGCAAGCGCAGCTCAGTGCTATGCAGGAGTACTATGTGCAAATGTCTTTGCCGCATTCCTCCGCAGGAGTACTATGTGCAAATGTCTTTGCCGCATTCCTAAGTTGCCTCCTCCTTGTAGAGCTGGTGTATCTGGTTCAATGTTTGCCAGGAGCTTTCTTGGGGGCAGTAAGAGGTGAGAGGTGTGAGGGGAAATTGGTGTGAGGGAGTGGTGATGTGGTGGACTGTCCAGTATAGGAGGGGGAGGGGGGAGGAGTATTAGAAGCCATTGTGGCGGGGGGGGGGGGGAGGACACTCAGGTGTTACTACTGGAGCAGGCTCCCTTGTGGCTTTAAGCACCCTGCAACTGCTGCTGCACCTGACAGACAACTGCCTGTCAGGTGTAGGAGGGGGGAGCATGTTTGAAGCCATAGGGAGGCTGGGCCAGCAGGTGGTTGTTGGCCATTTCTAATTTCCCCAACTGTCATTAGCTCTCTGCAGTCTCCTGGAACTATTGTTGTTTTTTACCTCAGAACACTGAGCTCTGCAGCTGACCAATCAGAAAGTGGGGAGTGCAAGGAGGCAGCAGCCTGGCAGCCACATATGAATCAATCGGGGGAGCACATTTTACCCCTTTTGACCCACTTAGTGGTTGAATTTCTAAAAATCCATTCTTAGCGAGCATCTACGCCATGGTAGAAGCGCTCTCCCCAAATTTGGTGCTTATATTGGTGTTGGTTATATATATATATAACCTTCTCTTTGAAAATTTAATAAAAAGATTTATACATACATACATATACATATACATATATATATATGACTTGCTATCAGTTACCAAACATGAATATGGATATGGTGTATAATCATACACCACAACATAGGGTTGGATCCTACCAGCTCTTCTGCCAGCAAAAGAAGGAAGATGGGACTCCCTTGATCACCAAAAAGACTTTTTCAGAAATCATGTGACCTTTATGACAAAGGCCATGAAGGATGGGAGCTTCCCCAGGATGGGAAATCAGGTGAAACTGAGCAGAAACACTGGTAGGAGACAACCCAATATAGTGTGTGTGTACGTATGCAAGTTAATTAATTTTATTTATAAGATTATTTTATTTATTACATTAGTTACGTGGCGAGGGGGCTTGCATGGTTCGATGAGCCTGTGGGCTATGCCGTGGAGGGCCACCCAGGACAGACAGGCCACAGCAGAGAACTCAGACCAAGTGTGATCCACTGGAGAAGGAAATGCCAACCCACTCCAGTATCTTTGCCAAGAAAACCCCATGGACAGTATCAAAAGGCTAAAAGATATGACACTGGAAGATGAGCCCCGATGTGTCTTATGGTGAAAGGAAAGTCCGATGCTGCAAAGAACAATACTGCATAGGAACCTGGAATGTAAGATCTATGAATCAAGGTAAGCTTGACATGGTCAAAAATGAGATGGCAAGACTGAACATCGATATCTTAGGAATCAGTGAACTAAAGTGGACAGGAATGGGCGAATTTAACTCAGAAGACCATTACATCTACTACTGTGGCCAGGAATCTCATAGAAAAAATGGTGTGGCCTTTATAGTCAACAAGAGAGTGCAAAAGGCAGTACTGGGATACAATCTCAAAAATGACAGAATGATTTCTGTCCGATTCCAAGGCAAACCATTCAACATCACAGTAATCCAAGTCTATGCCCCAACCACTGATGCAGAAGAGGCTGAAGTGGACCGGTTCTATGAAGACCTACAACACCTCCTAGAACTAACACCAAAAAATGATGTCCTCATCATCATAGGGGACTGGAATGCTAAAGTAGGAAGTCAAAAGGTAACCGGAATAACAGACAAGTTTGGCCTTGGAAAGCAAAATGAAGCAGGGCAAAGGTTAACAGAGTTTTGTCAAGAGAACACACTGGTCATAGCGAACACCCTTTTCCAACAACCTAAGAGGCGACTCTACACATGGACATCACCAGATGGGCAACACCGAAATCAGATTGACTATATAATTTGCAGTCAAAGATGGAGAAGCTCTATCCAGTCAGTAAAAACAAGACCTGGAGCTGACTGTGGTTCAGATCATGAGCTACTCATTGCAAAATTCAGACTTAAACTGAAGAAAATTGGGAAAACCACGAGGCCATTCAGGTTTGACCTAGATCGCATCCCTGATGAATATACAGTAGAGGTGAAGAATAGATTCAAGGGTCTGGATTTGATAGATAGAGTGCCTGAAGAACTATGGACAGAGGTTCGTGACATCGTACAGGAGGCAGCAATCACCACCATACCAAAGAAAAAGAAATGCAAGAAAGCAAAATGGCTTTCTGATGAGGCTTTACAAATAGCAGAGGAAAGAAGGAAAGCGAAAGGCAAAGGCGAAAAGGAAAGATTTACCCAACTGAACGCAGATTTCCAGAGAACAGCAAGGAGAGATAAGGAGGCCTTCCTGAATGAACAGTGCAAAGTAATAGAAGAAAACAATAGAATGGGAAGGACTAGAGATCTCTTCAAGAAAATTGGAGAAATCAAGGGAGCGTTCCATGCAAAGCTGGCCATGATAAAGGACAAAAACGGTAGGGACCTAACAGAAGCAGAAGAGATTAGGAAAAGATGGCAAGAATACACAGAAGAACTATACAAGAAAGACCTCAATGTCCTTGACAAACACGACGGTATAATCACTGACCTTGAGCCAGACATCCTGGAATGTGAAGTTAAATGGGCCTTAGAAAGCATTACTAACAACAAAGCTAGTGGAGGTGATGGTATTCCAGCTGAGCTATTCAAAGTCTTAGAAGATGATGCTGTTAAAGTTCTGCACTCCATTTGCCAGCAAATTTGGAAAACGCAACAGTGGCCACAGGATTGGAAAAGATCAGTATACATTCCAATCCCAAAGAAGGGCAATGCCAAGGAATGTTCAAACTATCGCACAATTGCACTCATATCACACGCTAGCAAGGTCATGCTCAAGATCCTACAAGCTAGGCTTCAACAGTACGTGGATAGAGAACTACCAGAAGTACAAGCTGGGTTTCGAAGAGGTAGAGGAACGAGAGATCATATTGCCAACATTCGCTGGATTATGGAGAAAGCAAGAGAGTACCAGAAAAATATCTACTTCTGCTTCATTGACTATGCTAAAGCCTTTGACTGTGTGGATCACAACAAACTATGGCAGGTCCTTAAAGAGATGGGAGTACCAGACCACCTCACATGTCTCTTGAGAAACCTGTATAAGGGCCAAGAAGCGACAGTTAGAACCGGATACGGAACAACTGATTGGTTCAGCATAGGAAAAGGAGTACGACAAGGATGTATACTGTCACCTTGCTTATTTAATATATATGCAGAGTACATCATGCGAAATGCTGGCCTGGATGAATCACAAGCGGGAATTAAGATTGCTGGGGAAAAGATCAACAACCTCAGATATGCAGATGATACCACTCTAATGGCTGAAAGTGAAAAGGATCTAAAGAGCCTCTTGCTCAGAGTAAAAGAGGAGAGCGCAAAAGTGGGCTTGAAGCTCAACATCAAAAAAACTAAGATCATGGCATCCGGCCCCATCACTCCTTGGCAAATAGAAGGGGAAGTCGTGGAAGTAGTGACAGACTTCACGTTCCTGGGATCCCAGATCACCGCAGACTGTGACTGCCACTCCTTGGCAAATAGAACGGGAAGTCGTGGAAGTAGTGATGGACTTCACGTTCCTGGGGTCCCAGATCACCGCAGACTGTGACAGCAGCCATGCAATTAAAAGACGCCTGCTCCTTGGGAGGAAAGCGATGGCGAACCTAAACAGCATGATAAAAAGTAGAGACATCACCCTGCCAACAAAAGTCCGCATGGTCAAAGCAATGGTATTCCCAGTAGTCATGTATGGCTGCGAGAGCTGGACTATAAGGAAGGCCGAGCGCCGAAGAATA